TTCCCCAATTTTAGGATTTGAGTCTCTCAAGAATGAAGTGAATTGAGATAACCAAAATCTGACAACAGCTCAACCCCTTGCTTAGCTTAGCCATGGAGGCAAAGGGCTAAGAGGGCAAGTAGATGCCAGGTGAGTCTCTCCTTATTTATCCATACCTCCACTGAGCCTGTGTCCAAACCTGGGAGACAAGGATGCAAAAACCTTCCTCCCCTCAAGGGAATGGTCAAGACAGTCAGTTCAAAACAGGACAGATGGGGGGTGGGGGAATGACCCGTCTTCTGATGGCTGCCTGCCACCTCAAAAACGCTGGCCAGAGATAACAAGGAGAAGCACAGGGCCTGGAACATCTGCCAGCCACATCCCTGGCTCCCCCGGGGAAGCAAAGCATAACCCCCTCTTCTGTGCCTTCATTTCAGCAAAAGCAGCACTAGGAGAAAAGCGCCTTGTCCCCTCATCCCCTGCCTACAACAGTCCCTTCCTCCAAAGCTCAGCCCCTGCCTACCTGCCCATCAGCCTCCTCATTCAAATATTTTGTTCAACATTCCTGGCCCAGCCTCCCAAGTCACCTATGTGATCTCCCTCTGATTGGCCCATATTTTCCATGTCATTTATTTGAGCCTTGTCCACCTACTTAGCATGCCGCCAGATGTCCCAGGTGGACCAGGAGTGGGAGAAGCATAGGAAGGGAGAGGCATGGAATTGAGAGAACAAGATGGCAAAGGTAGATATGGGTCCCTTCCAAAAAATTGTGTGTGTGTGTGTGTGTGTGTGTGTGTGTGTGTACAGCATGTACGAGGATGTAGCCTATTGATCCTGCTCCTCCCTTGTTCCCTTTATTTTTTTATTTTATTTTTGTGTTTTGTCCATACTGGGGATTGAACTCCAGTGCTTGGCAGGCACTCTCTGCCACATGAGTTCCCTCTAGCATCCCCCACTGTCTTTCCAGCTGTGTACTTACCCCATTCTCCATTCCATTAGCACCAAGTACTTTCAGAACTTCCTCATATCAGTTTTAACAGCAATTAGTCTCATTTTCTATGGCAGAGAATAGCCACACTGAGAACCAACTGGAAGCTTGTCTGCTCACTGGGTTGGAGAACAGGGGTTGTCTCACAGTAAACCCTCAGATGTCTGAAGATGAGTGGATATGCTCCCAGGTACTTGACGGCACTTTTACAGCACTAATGTCCATGGGTCCCCTAACTCAAAGAAATGATTTGCCTGAACATTTTATTTTAAAACTCCATGTAGGCTAACAGCAAGAGCCAACTTTCTTCTCTTTGCCTGCCAGAAAACTCAGCAGCACAATTTGTCCAAGAAGCATTCATAGATAGACCTTCATGATCACAACAGGTGAGTTCTCCCTACATTCTCTCACCTGTTCTGACTCACAGCACCCTTAGTCCTGTCTTTGTAAGGGTTCTGAACTACAACCTTGATTGTTGTGTAGGATTTTTTTTTCCTCAAGGTTTCCTCAAATACCTTGTCTAAAGAATTGGGTCATTATCACCACATAAAGGAAACTATAGGTAATGTTTCGGACATATGTAGAAGGTGAGTAGAGAACTTCAGTCAAAAAAGACCCCAGATGCCTACTCTGAGCTACAGCAGCTGGAGGCCAGAGGGAACATGTACTGTATGTGTGCCTCCAAGGCCTGGGCAGACAGAGACACACCCTGATTCGGTGTGGAACTCCAAGACAGGTGTGGAACATGCCCAGACAGGTAACAGGGCATCAGCCCTTCGCCCCCCATCTCCTCCTTACACAGTCCTGCGGATTCTGGCAGGCAGCTTAGCAGAGCTAGTTCAGGGAGTTTGGTCCAGAAAGGGGGAAGGGAGGCGGAAGGTAGTGGTGTTAACAATCAGCAACAGTGGGTCCCACTCATTCCTGAGTCTATTTTACGACTTTGAACTCGGTATGCAAATTTATGCAAGACGAGATGCAAAGCAGTGCTGGGAGCCAGAAGTCCCGTTGTTTTCTCCCCCCTGATTTTTGAAACAGCAATGAGCCACTATAAAACAGGGCCTGCCTTTTTCCCCTTTTTCCCCCTTTCCCCCAGCAACTGTGGATCTGGGGCTTCCCACTCATCACCCACCAGCAAGACGACCTGCCGGTTGGCTCTGGAACTTTGGATGACTGGCACCTTTATATGTGCAGAGGGCCAGAAGGCCACTTGAGCGCCCCGCCCCTCTGCATAATCCCCAGCATTGTAAGGCGGCAGGGAAGGAGACTGGAGAGAGATACAGAACCAGTCCAGCCTGAATTCTGGAAGGACCCTGCCTGGCCCCCTAACTCTGCCATCCCAACTCTTAGGCACTTCTCTACTCACTCCTTATATACCCACATACTTTTAAAACCCAGACTTTATGCAGATCTCAGGGTCCCCATTTAATTTTTCTTCCAGGCCTCCCCACATCTATCCCCCAGTCTGACTTCTCAGTTTCTGTGAACCAACCAGCCCCAGCCCAGCACATTCCCCCTCAATTTAAGCTCATCACCACCCACTTCTACCCTCTGAAGCGCCCACCCCCACCCCATGCATCCGTGCCATCCCCAGGAAGCCAGCAACACAGCCCCTGAGTCCTGGGAACAAAGACAAAAGAGCTAGCAGCAAAGCCGGAACTGCTGGGGTTCGCTGCCTTGAAATAAGAGGGTATGTTTAAAATTCTCAAAAGCAACCTGCTCAAAGAGGAATGCAGGATAGGGAGGGGGGGGTGCTCATTCTTCAGAGGGGGCAGAAAGAGATGAGCAGATGAAGAGTGGGAGGCAGCAGTGTCAAGGTCTCTGTCTGGGCCATGTGCAGTCTCCACCCTGCCCCCACTCAGATCCCAGCACTCTCCAGGCAGCAAGACCCTAGGTCCTGCCCAGCCCACCACCCTTTCCCACAGGCCCAGAAGCCTCCATCCTTGCCCCCTCTCTTCTTTGCACCCCTACAAGCTCAGGCTGTTCCCCCAGTGCCCTCTCCCCCAACCCTGCTTTCACCCCAACCTCTTTTCCCCGCCCCCTACCTCAGCTTAACATCCTCTTCCAGACTGGGGCACAAGAGAAAAATGCAGGAAGGCATCCAGGCCTTGGGAGAAGGCTGAGGAGGCAGCTGGGGTGAGCTGGTGGGAGGGAGTCCCATAACCAGGCAGAAAATCCGCAGTGACATTCTTCCCATGAACTCACCCCATTGTCCCCCGGCTCCCCTGCCAACTCCCCCACCACCACCACCACCACCACCACCACCACCACGGCTGCAAGGAAAAGTGGTGGGAGGGGAAAGTAGGAGGGGGACACACGTCCTGCATCTGTCGCCTGCTTGAAAACCCCAAACCTGCTTCAGACACTTGAGAAGCAAGAGAGTTGGATTTCAGGCTTAAGTAAAACGATGAGGAGTGGAAAAAATACACGGTTGTATGGTGAGGAACAAAAAGCACCACACTTTATTAAAATGTTCAAAATCCAAAGGATTCTATGGAGCCTTTGCAAACATTCACCCTGCTGAGGAAGATGTTTAGTTTACCCAAGTTCAGCTCAGAAACTGCACAAAACCTCCCCAGGGTGGGCGGGGGGTGGACCAGAGTTTGCCAAAAGTGATGGGGGAGGAGAACAGGACTGGGGACCAGAGCCTCTGTGGGAGAGGACTTCTCTTTTTCTTTATTATTACTTTCTGAAAGCAACAGGAGGAAAGGGTTAATTCCATGGCAGGCTGGGAGAAAGAAGAAAGGAACAGAGGGGTTCCACTCAGAGGAAGCCCTACCTTCCTCAGTACTCAAGGTCAAAATCTGTGAGTGAAATAGATTTCAACCCTGACCCCTAATTCCATTCCCAAGGAGAGCAGGGGGGAGAAAAAAAAACAATAGCAGACTAGAAGAAGGGAGGGGGCTTACAAAGAAGCTGAGAAGCAACAAGAGTGTTCACACTTTTTCTTTTTACTTCCCGCCCCCCCCCCCCCAGTTTGAGAAACTTAGTCAGCCTAACTGGCCTTTTAAGCATCAGCAAGTAGTGGACACATTTCAGCACTGTCTACAAGAGGAAAGAAAATAATTACAGCTTCCTCCAGACCATGGGGGCGAGGTTTTTGTAATTTCTTTTTAGAAGTGAACTCCTTACAGCTTCCTGGTTGTGTCCCCCAAATAACTTTTTGAAAGGGACGAGGGTCCCTTAACAAAGAACCCCAGGTTCCCAGTTCCATGGGATAGGAAGCGGTCCCTGGATTTAAAAGTGGGGGGGAGACGGGATGGCGGGGGAGACGGGGGTGGGGATGTATCACTCACGTAAGAATCATGGCTTTTCCCTGCCCCAGGCTCCTCCTGCCTGCAGACCTGGGGCCCAGATGCTTTACCGCATGGCCCACACCTAGGAATGGAGCTGACGATCCGGCTTAAGTTACACACATTAAACTTGCTAGGGTCGCTTCCCAAATATCCCCAACCCCGTTTTTTGTTTTTTTTGTTTTTCCCATCCAACATTTTGCAAGAGCCCTCTTCGTTCTCTATGCGCAATTCACCCTACAAAGCACCAAGTGCTTCTCAACTCACAACCCCTGAAGAAGAGTCAGTCTCTCCATGCGCCGTTTCCTGCCACTGCCCCCTCCACTGGCACGGGTGGCCTCGGCCTCTCAGCGACGATCCCACTAGAGCTCTTTTATCGGGCCAGATAAGCTTGAAGCTCCTACTCCCACCGATCTGACCAACAACCTCCTCTCCTCAGCAATTCCCACTCCCGAAACACAAATCGGAGTATGTTCCACGCGGGGAAGGTTATGGTAACAAGGACGTCTTTCCTCTCCCCATTTATCCCCCCAAATTAGTAACCAGGGCTCTTCCATTTGCTCTAACTCCAGTCCCCCTCCCCGGGCCTGATTTTCGGGTTCCCGCCCTCAATAATCTCTCTGGATCTGATCAAGGAGTCCCCTCTTTCTCCTCGTCCCGCCGCACTCTCCTTCCGTACGTAACGGCCAGGCTGCCTCCTCCCCTCCAAGTTTCTCCCAACTAGTTATGCCAGCCCGCGTTACCTGCAACCTGCTCGCGGCTGGCACCGTACTCGGTGTCCCGGCGCTTTTCGCAAGTGCCCACGCCCATGACCAGCGACTGCAGGGGCAGCTCGGAGCCGGGGTTGGGGTAGCAGCGCAGCCCTTGGCCGCAGCGCGGGGTGTAGACGCCGCACGTTTCGCCCTCCAGCCGGGCGCACACCGAGCAGCAGCCGCAGCCCGGCTCTCGGACGAGCTGGGCGCAGGGCGCGCGGGCATCGCCCGCCTCCCGAGACACGGCGGCGGGCGGTGCGGCCGGCGGGGGACCGCAAGCAGCCAGGCGCTCGGGTGTGCAGGGTGGGCAGCGGAACAGCACCTCAGCGCGCACCCCGGGGCCACAGCCGCCGGCGCCCAGCAGCAGCAGCAGCAGCAGCAGCGACGGCAAGACCAGCGGCAGCGCGGGGCCGCCCAGTCTCGGCAGCATGTTGGCGGCGAGGAGCGCGACAGCGGCGAGCGAGCGGGCAGGTGGCACGGCCCTACGAGCGCGGGAGCCACCTCCTTTCCTTCTTTCTCCTCCTCCCGCGCCGCAGCCGGGTCCTAAAAAGCCTGCTTCTCCCCGCCCCCTGCCTTCTCCCCTCCCCCTTTGGGAGACCACCCCCTTCCCCGAGCACTCCAGCGCGCGAGCACGTGCTTGCGCACACGCCCACCCGCCTACCCTGCCTTGGTTCTGTGTCCCATGGGTCCCCCGATACTCACTGACCACGTCCCTCCACGCTCCTCTATCCCTGATTCGCCAACTCCTGGAGAGTTAATAATAACTTGCAAGCTTGGGTAGGGTGGCGTGGAGTGAGGAAGAGCCGGAGCTTTTGTCTCCTGTCTATAGTCCAGTTTGGAAAGACTTTGGGCCCTTCCCATGTGGCCGACAAGGAGCTAGCTGCTGGAGAAACACAAAGGCACAGTTTTGACCTTCAAGTACATTTCAGTTCTTACACCAGCTTACTCCATCCTCGGGATAGCATCCCCTGCTGATAACGTTGCTTGGAACAATGACCTTGAGAGAGTCCTGAAGATGTTCAGACCCTTCTAGACCAGGCTAGCCCCAACCAGCCCCTAAACAGAAGAAAACCCAAAGTGCAATTTCTGGAATCTGCTCCCTTCCCCTCCCCAAATCCTGCCATCTTCACCAAATAATCCTCAAAGACATGGGCCACCATTCACAAATCTGGAGGCTTTTGCTGCTGAAGATATCCCGGTATGCCATACTGCAGGGGACTTGCAAAAGGTACATCAGACTTCCAGGTGTGAGAGAGAGCCCTGGGTCAATTAAAGCTGCCTTCAGGTGGGCACCGGTGACTCACATCTGTAATCCCAGCTACTTGGGAGAATGAAATCTGGAGGACTGTGGTTTGAGGCCAGCTGGATAAGTACTTCTCAAGACCCCATCCCTGAAATAGCCAGAGCAAAATAGACTGGAGGTATGACTCAAGCAGTAGGGTACCTGCTTCGCAAGCATGTAAGCCCCGATTTCAAACCCCAGTCCCACTGAAACAAAACAAACACTCCCTCTAATAAGGCAGGTGAACAAGTACAGCCTCCAGTGTTCTGTTTGATTTAATGAGTCATGTAATCAGGATGTCCCAACCTCATCGTTCCAGCCTGGATTTAATTATTCACCCATCTCCCCAGGTTGTGACTCTACCAAAGACTCTTGTCAGAGAAATTCTCTCAGGAATGGATTACTAACCTCCCTCCAGTCCAGGTTTAATTTTCCAATACCTGGGGCACTACCTTTCCCCACAGACTTCTCCATTCTGTTCTTTCTAAGCAGCTACTTTATTTATCATGTGACCCTGAAGATGAGTTAATTACCTCCAAGAGACAAGTTCTTGATTTTAAGGAACTAAGAAGGGAAGAATTACAGGAAAGAGTTTAGTAAGACAAATTAACTGGAGACTTTGAGGAATGGAATTATTCAGGTGGAGAAGATGTGATGGAAGGGTGAAGTTTGCTGGGTGAGTTGGAATTGAATCTTGGAAAACCACCAGGAAAAATGGGATTAGTGAACACCTGAGCCCAGGGACCAGCTAAAGCAAGGACAGGGAAATGGAAGAATGAGGTTGAAGACTGGAAAGTCAATCCACTTCAGCCAGAGAGCAGAACACCTGGGAAAATTGTAGGAGACTAGCAGGAAATCCACATGATTCTAGAGGTTTGCCTTAATTTGGTGGGCAGCAGGGATGCTGCATCCATGTGCAATCAGAGGAATGAAATAGTGGGCAATCACTGGAGCTATGTAGAGTGCAGATCTTACAAAAAGAAAAAGACAAAGGCTGTTGGAGGCTCCTGGTCACCCACCTCTGTGCATCCTGGAGTTGTGAGTTTTGTGCCTGCCCTGGAATCTGATTCTATTGGTCCCACCCACTGACTACTCCTTGAGTAGGGACAGGGTCTGGAACCACACTGCCCAATAGAAATCCAGGAAAACTGCAAGAATGAGCCACAATTACAAACTTAAATTTTCTAGCAGCACCAGGCACCAGTGGCTCACACCTGTAATCCTAGCTACTCAGGAACCAGAGATCAGGAGGATCGTGGTTCGAAGTCAGCTGGAGCAAATAGTTTGAGAGACCCTATTTCGAAAAAATCCATCACAAAAAAAGGGCTGGTGGAGTAGCTCAAGGTGTAGGCCCTGAGTTCAAGCCCCAGTACCACAAAAAAAAAAAAAAGTAGCAGCCATATTAAAGTGTACTAAAAAGAAATAGGTGACATCCATTTTAATAAAATACTTGAACTCAATATAACCCAAATCTTATCATTTTAATGAGTTGTCAAAACTTAAAATTATTAATGAGAGAGTTAATCTTTTTTTCACACTGAATCCTCAAGGTGTGAAATGTGTCTTATACTTACAGCACATTTCAGTTTGAGCTATCTAAAATTCAGAAGCTCTGTAACCAGAAGTGGCTAGTAGCTACCAAAGTAGACAGTGCACAGGTCTAAACTAGAGTGTCTGGCCCCAGTAGGTACTCAACATTTGTCCAATGAATGGAAAGTACTGTCTCGAGAAATACTCCCCCAGGGCCCCTCATTTTCTATCTCCATCACAGTGCCCAGCAGCTGGGATGGAAGGTAAGGATAAATCTCTTGGGAGGCTAAGATTGATTCATCCTTCTTCCACCTCCTTTTAAAGTTCTTGATCTTTCAGCCAAGGACTTGGAGATGAGCAGTCAAAGCAATGCTGACTTAACAAATACACTCAGTGAGATTTCTTTCTTTCTGTTTTTGTGTTTTGAAACAAGGTCTCACTGTGTGGTCCAAGCTGCCTCAGCCTCCCGAGTGTTGGGATCACAGGTGTGTGCCACCATACCTGGCCAGGTTTCTCTTTCTAATGAGTCTGAAGACCATACCCTAATTCTTTTCTCCCACTTCCCAAGTTAATAGCCAATTTTACCCTCTGCATCCCCAAAGACACAATACGCACACCCCAACAACAACTCCATCTCTTTAAGTCCTTTCCTAATCCCTATAAGCCTCAGAGTCCCACTCCAAAAACGCCTCCTGGCACTGAGGCTCAAGTCACAGCACATCTTCTGGAAGAAAAAGGAAAATCATGATGAAAACAACACTAAAAGAGCTTTTTTAAATGGAGTCATTGGGGCTCAAGACATAGCTCCAGTGGTGGAGCCATGGTTCCTAGCAAGGGCAGAGGCCTAAGTTCAAACCCTAGTACTGCTAAAAAATAAAAAAATTTAAAAAAAATGTTAAAACTGGAGTCTGTGGCCTTTAAGGAGAAAGCAGAACACTGGGTATGGTGGTACAAGCCTATAATCCCTGCACTCATGAAGCTGTAGCAAGATCACTAGGATTTGAGGGCAGCCTAGGCTGAATAGTAAGTTTGAAACAAGCCTGGGCTACATAGCAAGAAGAAGCAGAACTTACGCACATCTCAAACTGCCTGAACTTTAGTCACCTCCACCCTTCTATCACAGGCATGTGGAAGGACAGAACGACTACACTGTGCAGAGGCTCAAGATGCATTTCAAAGGGTCAATGTGTTATATTTTTACTAACTATATACATTCTTTTCTTTATCCTCTGTCGGTCACAGTCATGGTCATGGGCTGGTCATAGTCTCATGTTGGCCACATAGCCTCTGTTCTTTCTCATCATCCAGTAATCCATATAAGCCGCCTCTTTTCTTGCCTTCCTCCAAATATTAACTGACTCAGAGTTCTCTGAACCTGTGTCTCCAGAATTGTATTTCCTAAGGCCGCAAATAATTTTTTGACCTTCACTGTTTCTGCATTTGAATTGAGCCACACTTCAGTCAACTGAGGCCTAGAGAAGTGGAGGGACTTTGCCATGGCCTAGGCCTGGTTACTGGCTGGCCTGAGACTTGACCACTTTGTTCATTACTGTAGGCCCAGGGCCTAGAATAGTGTCTGGCACACAGACAGTCAATAATCATATTTGTTGAGGTAACCCAAGATCTCTGCTCCTAACTCCTGCTTTGCCCATTGTTCCTAGAACATTCCTTATTTTAAATTTTCCATGAGTACTCTATAAATAATATGATCATAGGCTTGAGAGCCTGTCTGTACCGGGCAGTGTGGACTGGTTGAGAGAGGACAAGATGAGACTGGTTTTATCCCTTCCTCCTAATCCCTGCTTTTTCCATTTGAACGGTATTGCACAAACTCCACCCTTGCATGGTTTACCATAACTAAGAACCACCTGTACTATTATTCACATAATGTTTTAATGTAAGTCAGTTCACTTTTTTTTAACTTGATGCTATTTTAAAAGGAAACTCTATATCATGACCATAAATGGAAACCCAGTAAGGACAGCTATATACAGATGGAAACCATAAAAATAAACACAAGGAAAACAAGACGATACTATTGCTTGCTAAAGCCTCTGATCCTGGTACACCCTCCTCTAGCTAAAGAAGATGAGCCAGTGTGAGAAGTGCTAAAGGCAGCCAGACCCAAGCTGAGATTTTTTTCCCACTAAGTCATCCGAAAGATAGGAATAGTTTTTAAACATTTTATTGGATTATAATATGCATGCAAAAAGTACACATGAACTTGATAAATATTCACCAACTGATTCAACCATTTAACAAGCACGCAGATGAAGAACGAAAGCACTAATAGCATGCAGAAGCAGCCTCCCTATGTCTTCCACTTACTACCTCCACCTCCCCGAGGGTAAACATTACCAATACTCTATTAACCTGGATGAATTTTCCCTGTCTTTGCAGTCTTTCTGTCTTTGTTTTTTTCCTCAGCATTACAAATGTGAGATTTGCCAGGAGTAGCTGTGGATCAGTCCTTCCTGTTAGTGGTAGTGTTTCACGGGATGACTGCACCACAGTTTCCTCATTCATTCCATTGTTGATGGGCATGTGGACATCTCCAGGTTCTCAATATTACAAACACAGCTGCATGAAGTTCCCAGAACACTAAGCATCTGCAGCTT